GAACCTATGTAAGTTAAGTTCTAAGTTCGCTCTGTGCACTGGCGGAAACATATAGCACAGTTCCTGTACTTAATGAAGGGTAATAGTTCTGAATAGCTGGGAATTTAATAGTTTTGCTTTACAACGCAGCGCACTGGGAAAAGATTTAGGTTGGCTTGCTAACCCCTCCCTCACCGTAGCTAATGTTCTAGCTCGCGGCCACTGTATGTAAATACGGACCTTTGATATGATCGATACAATCAGAGTTTGTGCTAGCATGTTTAGGTGTGCTGATACTAGATTAATAGACTTTGGGTTATTGCTCTAATGGAAGGCAAAGAAATGCTGTTTTTAGGAGTCATGACGCAAATAGAAATATTCGCCCAATCCAGCAACAAGGAGTGAAATGTTCGAAAGGCAAGCAATCGGATGTAAGAACAGAACATAAACTGGGCATATGGGAGATAACTAAAAAAATAATATGCAACAAAAAACAGGCGTGCTTCAAATATAATAAGTTTCTTTTGCCTGCTTACTTTTGATCTGTGAAGGTTCTCATCAACGACGCGATTGCCGATTTTTTACCTCGAGGGAGGCATGTCATCATGTTCTGCAGATAAATGAATGCGGAAGAACCATATAGAGAAGTTTAAATATCTCAGGATAACGTTTGCGAAAGGAGGAGGAAATATCTTTTGCAAGAGGATGTGAAAATGGACATACGAATCGGTCAAGCAATTTAAATTGTGTTAAAGCTAGTCCGGTTTGCGATATTGAGGGTGAGCTAAGCAGTAGTGTTGAGCTATCTCTTAGACGTTTTGTACACAGCTTCACTTACTGGGGCCTTGATATCTAGATATTTAGCGAGGAGTGATCTAGGATACAGATGGCAGAAATGAAGATCCTTCGAAAGACTGTTGGAGTGACTGGAAGCGTTGGTTTACTAAAATCGAAGGTATCTTCGTTTTTGAATCGCTCCTTTTCCGGATAAAAATGTCACGGTTGTTGTTTTGAGCAGAATGTCACAGTCAAAGTCTGACACAAGAGTCGCATGAATAATAACCTAGTACCATGTAGGTTGCCTGATAGCCAAAAGACTGGGACACCATTGCCGAAATAAGAAATTGTTTAAGTTTTTAACCCTGATTCTTCGAGTTGCAAGCATTAAGCTTTGTTAATTTCAAGTTTATTTGTGAATTGTATCAAATATTTTAGGACAGATGACGAGGTGTCAAAAATTGTTGGATAACGAATTCAGTGAAGTTTACATCCATGGTCTCGGAGCTGCTATTAATCGTGCTATAAACCTAGCGCTTCAAATTAAACGGAATGGTCTTGGTTCTCTTGACGTCGCTGTTGAAACTGCAACGGTACGACTGACTGACGACTTGGATCCTCTGATTGATACGGCAGAGCCGAAAACACGGACGCGCCTTTGTTCCGCTGTGCATATTAAGGTTTTTCGTGCTTCTTCTCCAGTTGATGACTACTGAAGCATCGCTTTCGGTTGCTTATATTTTGAGGGAATTAATAAAAGTTTTCGCAAAGATAGTTTGTTGCTACTCTGACATATGCAACTCATTTTTAGTACATTTTCGTTATGCCTTGAAATATTCGACACTCTAATTTAGAGGCAAGTCATCGCTGGAAGCTGATCCCTATTCAGTGCAATGTGTTCACGTATTGTGTATCATCGTAGAGAAGTGCAACACTTACTCCACTATTTACTGACACTAAAGCAGCCCACTGTTGGGCAGAGATTTCATACGGCTTCTTCGGTTTATATCGCCGTCATCGGCTCCGGCCCCGCTGGTTTCTACTGCACGGAGACATTGCTGAAAAAAATGAATAATTTCCATGTACATATGTTTGAAAAACTGCCTGTTCCTTATGGCTTAATTCGCTATGGTGTTGCACCTGATCACCCAGAGGTGAAGAACTGCATTAAACAGTTTGAAAAACTTGCAGACTCGATGCCCACGCGTTTCAAGTTTTATGGCAACGTGGAAGTCGGCAAGGACATCAGCCTTAAGGAAATCATAAAGGTACATTTGAATTATCATCATTAAATACAAGTGCATCAAAGGGATTAGTTTTCTATTGTTGAACAGTTTTAAAGAGATTTCTTTAATTCTTTACGTGGGTTAAAAGTTCTTCATCCTCCGACTTCAAAGGTTTATATTGCATGTGAATTTTAAAATAAGCCCTGGCGTTTCGAATCGAGTTGTATTCAGCTTAAGGGGACATTATATAACAAAAAATACAACAGTGATTTCGAAAGTTCATTTTGAATCTACGCCACGAACTCGTCGATCGAAGTTACTGTTATAGTCGTTTTCATCACAAGACAAGGACTGCTATTACGAAACCTTTATTACATGGTTGTCATTGTTTTGGCCGCGTATCAGCGGTCTTCTTTGGGACAGAAACTAGCAACGGATATTACAATATATATTGATCTACAACAAGTGAATACAGTAAACCCAAACCTTTAGCGATTTCGTAAAAAAGCTACGCAGCTTTTGTACAGCCTGTTCTTAGCTGAGGTGTGCAGCGACCATCTCATCATAAACTTTGCTTTGTAATCATCCTGGTCAACCACTGAATCGTTTTCTTTGACAAGATGGTGACCACCTTCTGAGGCATGGATACCTTAGTGTTTGGGATGGTTGTTTACGACAGTTCTTCTGTAATAACCAATTCCAACTTTTGATGTTCTGAAAATCTTCCAAATGTAAATCCGTTCACAACTGTTGCACTGATAAATTTTCGTTTGGTTAGTTATGGCTGTCAAATTTCTTGTAAAGCGCAGAATCCAGTCATACCTCGAGAAAAGGATATATTAAGATCATTCTTTACCATCAATCTATGTATATCTTCACACATGTCGTCGATATATGGAATAGTGATAGAGCTGTTGGAAATGACTTTAAGAGAAGGTTCATTAAGAGGATGAATTTGTAAAAACTGAACCGAAATATTCGGGGAAGTATCACGAAGGTGCTTACTTTTTTAATAAAGGAGGCGCTTACGATTGAAATATTTAAACACTCAAATTAATGCATTTTATAATATTAGTAAATATGAATTGAAAATTGCAGGAGGAAGGATGTAAGTACCACTGGAGTGAGTTCGTTTTCTGTATAGAGAACAATTTAAACACCCATCAGTGTTATGCTCAATAAAGATGTCAAGAAAAGGTGATATTACTGACTTCGTTTACTTAGGGAAATTTCGGGTGATTGGAGCATCTAATGAATTTGAGATGATCAATGAATTGAGTAAAAATATTAATAAAAAATATAAAGATGAAGATAACTCCGCCATGGCACGACCCAAGCCCGGATGAGAAAGGAGGAGGGGTCTCCAAGTCTCCGTAAAATGCAGCCACCTGCCACTCATGGTATTGACGCCTTCGAAAATTACACCGGCTCGGTCGTCGCCCGA